TTGCTAAGAGAACAAAATGCTAACGAATTTCCCCTGAACGTTCTGGCAAGGAAAAAAACGGGAACAAAATTCTAAGGAACTTTCTGTCAAAGAACAATTTGGGAGCTAAAGTTTCAAGAACCTTCTTATAGAGAACGAAAAAGGAACAAATCTTCTCTGAACTATCTCACAGTGTTCCATGACTTTGAAATGTTTGAATATTAAAGTTAATCAAAAAAAGAGCTGAAAGATAGTTATGTAAATAAAGATAACGAAAGACTTAAGACACGAACTATTCTTTAACAGAAAATGAAAAATTGTTCCATAAATTGACAGTTCACCATAATGATAAACGATCTGGAAGTTGAAATGATCCAGCTTTCCTTTGGCTTAGAATTAACATCCGTGGTTCTCACTGAAAAAACTTTTCCACCGAACACAGTGGTCAAATTATTGCTACTACCTTTAGATACCAATACATATTGTAATATTCCCCATATGGTATAGAAGATTCTTATAGATTTTTCCTATGTACGTTCGTTTGAGGTATATAATCGTAAATGCGCTTAATTTTTACTTCTCTACATTTTTTCGGGTGCCCGGGTACCCGGTCTACCCGGGCAGATAAATACCCGGGCTTCACCCGCTACCCGGGTGTAATCATCAGTCCTAGTACATATACATATATCATTTAAAAATCTGCTTTAAAAATAATTTCTAATTTATTTTGAGAAATTGTCAAGTATTTCATAGTAAATGCCTCAGTACTCGTTTATTAGTAATTAAATATTTTCCGCCCAGGAATCATTAAAATGACTGTGTACAAACGAAAATAGTTTTGTATTCTAACTTACTTGGTGCTAAATAACATATACATATATGCTATATGTATATATTAGGGCATTCAATCCCGAAGTATTTTAACAATCCCGAGATTTCCGGGATGCAAAAAATTATAATCCCGGGATACCGGGATTTTTCGGGATTCAAAAGAGTCCGTAATTTAATGTCTAATTATTTGTATAGTTTTCTTAAATATCTATATTAATTGTAAAAACCCCTTACAAATATCTTCAGAAATTAATTTTCCACAAAATGCCAACCAAATAAAAGGAGGAACAAGCCTTCCACATTGTAAAATCTTGTTGTGTTTGCAATTGCTATCAGATTTTTCATTATTACACAATACTTCTCAAAATGTTTGAACAAGTACAGTCATTCAGGCAGGTTCTAAAATTCACTTTCGAGTGCAAATGGCTCAAGTTCACTTTGAATCATAATTCTGGTGTTCTGTTTATCTCATTTTTTATGTCAAATGAATTAATTTTTTTCGTTTTCAACATCGCTTTTATTCTGTAAATGAATCAGTAAAAATATCCCGGGATTTTGGGACGTGGAAAAGTGTCCGGGATCCCGAGATTCTGTATCCGGGGATTGAATGCGCTAGTACATATGTATACAGCTTTCTAGCAAAAATTTTGAATGACGTGGCCTGTTGTATTAATCATTGAACTAAACTCGTGCTCAACTAAACACATACACACACACCGTCAGCTACTTTAGTCATTCTTATTATTTTTATCATATTTGTTTAAAAGTTGAATTTGTCAACATTTCGGTCGTACGTTAAGTCAGCTTTTAATCTCTTCGTCTTATATATACCGAAATATTTTAGCTTTGAGGATACTTAGTTGCCCGCATGTCAAACACGTGCTCTTATAATCATCTTTGTATTTAAGGATACTTATTTTATCTCTGAAAGTGTTTAGTGAGTATTTACTTCATTTACCCAAAATAATAAAAATGTAATTTATTGATGTTCTCTAAAATTGCCCATTGATGTAAAGGCCTAAGGCTTGTGCCACCCAAAATTCTTCGGCTGGGCGCGGTCGGGCCAACTTAGCAGCCATGCCGATATGTTTGAGCAGCGCAATAAATATTTAAGAAAAATTAAAAAGTATTGGCAATTATCGCATCACTGCTACTAGCACTGACGCACAAATGGACAAATGTGGAAAAATACAAGTAGTCGTTATTT